CATCCTAAAAAACGATTAAGAGGAGATCCAAAGCTTACCCAACCGGAAAATTTAAGAAAACTCGTCGGAGGTTCTTTTCCTGGGTTCGCCGAGTTGCGCAGAGACGAGAGGAAGAGGAAAGGGACGAGGTTTAGATGGCGATTGTGTCTTCCTCGAGCAGGGAGTGCAGCTGGGTGTGTGAGTATGTCTCGGTGAAGAGAAGGAGAGATGAGGGAAATGAGATGCCGGGGGACAAAGAGAGAGACGTCATGATGATGATGACGATGATGACGTCGTTGACGTCGGGGAGGGTGGTGTGGTACTCTCGAGTGTGGGTCGATGGGTGAGAGATCGGGGAGTGAGGGAGAGAGAGACGAGAGTGAGATGTCAGGGGACAGAGAGAGAATGAGGTTTGTTTGAGGAAGTTTAGGAATCTGGATAAAGGGTCCAGATTTAGTCAAGCTAGGGGACCAAAATGATCAATTCAATACAACTTTGGGAAAATACAAAATTACATATAAGTTCAGGGGTGGTGTCACGCCCCAATTCCTACATACGTCCAAGATTGACACGTGACGTTACCAAATACCCGTATCATTCACATACCCCGCCTCCGGGATATGGACAATGCACAACTCAAGATTCGAATTTCGTGATAATTTTTCTTATACTTTATGGCTGCATCTAATATCCTCATTAGACTGCCTACGTACCCTCAAAATGGATCAAGCCATTCGTAGTTCACCAATCGTCAACTCTAATCTTTTCGTAAATACTTCTAACAGAAAACCATAATGCACCATATTACACATCAACCTTATGTCAAATGACAATTATCATCTTTCATACATGCATGTAACCCATTCTCACACAGATACTTTCCAATTCATCCATCATATAAATCACTCTGTTTCACAGAATACCGCAAATCATAGTATGTAACATGTCAAATAACCAACGAAGCACAATGTTATTCTCAAGTCACATTAATCAATTACTCTAAGCATAATAATCTCAATCATACCCAACGTCATTCCACAATCACATCAATTAATTAATCATGAATCAAAGATACATGATCTTAGCATTTAATTGTTTAATCAATGAATGCAGTAACATATCATTTCACAAATTTAACCAAGGAACTCTAACAACTCCAAATGAATCACCCAGACATCCAACGATTCGTCTGAAACAAATCACAACAGCTCATAATCATAATCCCATACAACACCATGAAAAGTAGGGCTAGAGCGACACAGTTCAGCCGAAACCTACATCTCTGAAGCTGAAAACAAATCTAAGGGACCAAGACACCAAAGGGATTCCGGACCACTCAACGGAATCTCGGAGTACTATGCATATAGAACCGAACCATAAGATGAAATACAAGCTGGATACGATTTCGGACCATCACTCAACGGAATCGCAGAATAAAAAGGGATTCCAGACCATCACTCAACGGAATTCAAACAAGCATATGATTCCCCCATCAAATGTACCAAGTACAACTAATCCTCCTGACTTCTAGAATGCATATGGTCCCCCAACGCGGATATACCAAGCAGGACCATTAGTGACCCCCAACACGGATTAACCAAGCAGGGTCAAGATAACCAAGTAGGTAGTGAGTCCTTAACACGGATTAACCAAGCAGAGTCATACCTACAGAATTGTTAGGCAGTGATCGCCCAATGCGGATTAACCAAGCATGATCACCCCTAAGTATAAATGGCCATAAGGATCGCCCAACTGGATTAACCAAGCGCGATCCATAAATAGTATGGTCCCCCAATGCGGATAAACCAAGCAGGACCAACCATGCACCACATCTACATGGTGCAGTCTCATCATCACACCTTATACATAATTATACACATACATGCTATCGATTCCGCATATCAACCAGCATCTAGTCATATGGTGCACAACACAAGGAATTCCCTCAATTACTAATTCTACTAAAAATCTAATAAAGTACCTAACTCATCTCCTGACTTTCATATCCATCTCATGCTAGGTAATAGTGCCAAGTTCAAATAAGTATTCAGTTGGCAATCATATCCAAATAATTATCAAACAATATTTAGATCCCATAATTGTCATAACGTTCTTCATAATTATCATTCACATTATTAAAAGTTAATTAAACACATATATATCACAAACATCATCAATACACAAGCCAAATCATATTTAATTAGCATAGGTCTATGGCTAAATATATAAAATTCACATTTCAATAGAAATCATATTTATAAGACCAATTCATATTCACAAATGATACTAATATAAGAAATTAAGATAATAATCATATTTCATATATTCAAGTCGCTATCTAACCAATGTAGGCCCACTAGACTTCATGTAGTCCCCCGTAGTACTAATTTTAGTAATTAGGACGTTTCGAGACATGTTGATCAAAAGTCAACTTTCGGTCAAAGGTGGGATCCACAATTCAATCCGGAAGATCCACACATTGAATTTCAGATCCGTAACTTTCCAAAGTCCACATTATTCTCAAATAAAAACATACTAAAATCTCAACACGATCCGACGGTCGGATCTCCGCCAATTTCAAAATTCAAGTGGCGGTCGACATTTAATTTTACAAACTTAGAAATCCAATTAGGGAAGATCCGTACGTCGGATTTTCAATCTGTAAGTTTCTATGATCTTAAAATATTATGTTCTATCATGCATTAAGGTTTGGTGACAATCCAACGGTCAGATCGTCGAATCATATTTTTGACCTAACCACGTATCGTAATGAAATTAGGTTCAAACAATCAAACCATATCATAAGGATATCAATTATGAAATCAGGGCATCTAATTGAACTTAAAAGGACATCGTCGGCCCACTAGCCAGGCCACTGCCGCACGCGCCGTCGCGGGTCACGGTCGGCCGCCCCGACTTGCCGGAAAATTCAACTATTTTTAAAAATTACCAAAAATTATAAAAATGAAGATCTCAAAGAGTAGAACAAACTTTATACCTGTGGCCAAGTCCAATTTTGCCGGGAAACACTTCAATTTCACTCAAACCCGCCTAAACCCTAGAAAATGGTGTGCTTTGTTTCGGCTTCCAATCGAACTCCGACGCCTCCAACACTGCTTGGGCTTTGTTCCTGGGGCTGAGGGAAGTCTTTTGGTGGTGGTCATGGATGGTGAAACTTGCCGGAGCCACCGGGAAAATGGATAAAGCCGCCGGAACACCCGTGAGTTTGTGACTTCGAACTGGAAAAATGGGAAAGAAATTGGGAAATATAACACTACCAGGATGTAAGTCTCATCAAGGGCTTTCCATGGACACCAAGATCACCCAAAACGAAGTTCGTATGAAGGAGATATGGCTAGGTCAAAAATGGTGGTTCGCGGGTCAAAAATGACCCAATTCGGCTCCCTCATTTCCCATCCTTCTCCTCCTCCTGATTGGGCGAGCTCCTAACCTTTTAAAAATCTGATTGGTTCCCTCCCTCCTTTAACTGATTGGTCCCTTAACCCAAATATCTGATTGGGCCTCTTTCCAACAAAGTGGGAGTCTAAATAATTCATAAAATCTATAGTATCACAACTTCAAACGCCAGTAGCTATACCGTTATAACCCGGACTCACAAACGGCTTTCGCCTATGCGTTCGTGATCTTGAAATCTAATCAACAATATAAATTGTGACCTCGAATGGTCTACGGATTTTAAATAATTAATTTCCTGAAAAATAATATAAAAACTCAATAATACCAATACTTAGATTATAATAATGAAATCCAGGAACGGGATTTCACAGGTGGGGTTTAACAAAACCTTAATTTCATTATGGTATCAGAGCATGTTTCTCTTGCATGAAGCTGCACAAGCTCGCGCGTCAGTTTGTCCCACAACGGTGAAGGACAAGGTGAGAGCTAAGGGCTTACATGGTCTTGGGCCACTCTCTATTTTGCCAATTAGTTTTATAGTAGAGCTATTGAGATCTCTGCAACTAACTTGCAATTTTGTATTCTATTCATATTTCTGTTTTTTTTTTGTCCAAATTTTCTGTTCATTGTTCAGTATACAGATAAATATTGAACTTAATTTGTATACAATTTATCATTTGTCGCTGTTTTGTAGAATTAAATATAAAGTTGTAAGGTTCTCTCAAAATGTTGACATCATTTGTATTTGGGATTGGGCTGGAAATTTTTTCTGAAAATCCGAAACCAAACTAAAAAAATCATGATTCCATACTAAAAAATGTCTAAACCAATTATACGGAAATTTTTGGATTCATACCGAACCGATCCCAAACTTTTCAGTACGGGAATCAAGATTACATATTCAATGGTTCGGGAATGCTGAATCGAACCATATATATATATATATATTTATTTATTTATTTTGGTTGCATGCATATTGAATGTTGAATTTAAGTAATTTGATAGTAGACTATATTAAAAATGGGTGTGATATCCACACACCTCATTTTACTTCTCTCACATCTTTTTAATTTTTGGCTGTCGGATCGGATGACTTGAAGAAGATCAAAGGATAGAAATTATCAAGGGTGTGTGAGAAGTAAAATGGGATGTGTGGATAGCACATCTTATTAAAAATAGAAGTATGAAATTAAGTTGTTTGGAAATTTGGAATGTCAATTTGACTTGGTATGAATGAATTGGTATGAAATTTCAAATTGGTATAAGATAAAAAACCTAAATTTCAATTGATATGAAATTGGGCAACAAAATTTCATGCTAAAAGCCCAAATTTTAGTTGAAATCTTCAAAATCTCAAATTTTAGCCCAAAAGCCAAAAATCCAAAATTCAGTCCCGATCTATCTCGAAATATTGAAAACATTTCGGGAATTCTAAAAATTAAGAATACCAAAATTTCAGTTTAGGATTTATATTCAAACTTACGTTTCGAAAATTTTCAATTTGAGATTCAGAATCCTATTTTTTATTCGGGACTCCATATCAAAATACCACTATGAAAAAAAAAACAAAAAAAAAAAACAAAAAAAAAAGTAAAAGTCAAAAGGTCGCAACGAAGGTAAAGTTATGAATCGAAGCTCTGAACTCTCTTCCCCACTAAACTAGCCAGACTCGCTCTTCCCAGTCCCTCACTATTACTCTCACTGAAATCAACTTTCTTCTCTTCTCTTCTTCTTTATCGTGTTCCCGTGCAGAGAATGGCAGGAGAAGAAGGCCACGCAATCGGGATTGATCTGGGGACAACGTACTCGTGTGTAGCAGTGTGGGAGCACGACCGTGTGGAAATCATAGTGAACGATCAGGGTAACAGGACCACTCCATCTTGTGTTGCCTTCACTGAGACTGAGCGATTGGTTGGTGATTCAGCCATCAACCAGGTCATCAGGAACCCCACAAACTCCATTTTTGGTGAGCTCCTCGTTTATCTGCTACTAATTTAACAGTATTTACGGAGTAGGTTCATGGAAAAAGCTTATACATATGCTTATTTTTTAAGAAAAACTATTGAAAATTGCTTGAAAATTTTGAGTCTTGATAATAAGGATAAAATAAAAAGTAAAATAAATAGTATCATGATTGATTTTTTAGACAAAATAAAAAGTAAAATAAATAGTATCATGATTGATTTTTTATTGTAAAAATAAACAGTAATGGAAGCTTTTAATTAAACCTCCTAATTTTTTATGATCATGTTCATATAATGGTATTTTTTATATTTTTAACACAACAAAAATATTATGAAGTTGATTTAAAACTATCGTTGCAGTGTATTTCTTCGTTAAGACAAATGCAGAATATTCTTTGGCGATGTTTATTCCACAAACGCATATCACTCTGCAATTCAACCTTTCTGTTGTAAATCTTAATCCATTATATGAATTATATTATTGTAAAGCAAAAATGTGAAGAAACTTGTTTCAAATATTCGAGTAACTTGTCTTACCGACCAACATAGAAATTGCAACTTATTTATATGCTGTTTGTGTAACATAGAGTTGGGTAGCAGTATAACACTGTTGATTAAACCAAGTAAGTCATTGTGTTGTTTTTGATATATGACCTTTTGCTTCTCAGCTATTTTTCTTTCTTGGAATGGTTCTTTAATTTAGTCATTTATTTGCAGATGCAAAGAGGTTAATTGGTAGGAGATTCAAAGATGCCACTGTTCAAAGTGATTTGAAGCTTTGGCCATTTAAAGTCATTAAAGGTCCTGGCGGCAAGCCCTTGATTGTGGTCACCCATGACGGACAAGAAAAACAGTTTGCTGCCGAAGAAATTTCAGCCATGGTTCTAGCGAAAATGCGGGAGATTGCTGAGGCCTACCTCAATTCCACTGTAAAGAATGCAGTTATCACTGTCCCTGCTTACTTCAATGATTCACAACGTCAGGCTACAAAACATGCTGGAAGCATTGCTGGCCTAAATGTGATGCATATCATCAACGAACCAACTGCTGCAGCGATTGCTTATGGCATTGACAAGAAGGCTGGTTGGTATAGCAAGAGAAATGTGATGATATTTGATTTAGGTGGTGGTACTTTAGATGTATCACTACTTACCATAGGTGATGGTGTGTTTCAAGTGAAGGCCACAGCTGGAGACACTCACCTTGGAGGAGAAGACTTTGATAACAAAATGGTGGATTTTTGTGTTGAGCAATTCAAGAAGAAGCATAATGTGGACGTGAGTGGAAACTCTAGGGCACTCAGGAGGTTAAGAAATGCATGTGAGAAAGCAAAGAGGAGGCTTTCATTTACTTCAGCCACTGACATTGAAATCGACTGTTTGTATGAGGGTACTGATTTCTATACAACTATTACCCGTGCCAAATTTGAGCAACTGAATATGGATTTCTTTAACAAGTGTATGGAGCCAGTCCAGCAGTGTTTGAAGGATGCCAATATGGAAGTGAGCAGTGTCCATGATGTTGTTCTTGCCGGTGGATCTTCTAGAATTCCCAAAGTGCAGCAACTATTGCAGGATGTGTTCAAGGGGAAGCAGTTGTGCAAGAGTATCAATCCGGATGAGGCAATTGCGTATGGTGCCGCTGTTCAAGCTGCAGTCTTGAGTGGGAATGTGAATGGGAATCTTCAGGACTTTTCTATCTTGGATGTCACACCTCTGTCACTTGGGGTGGAGGTTACAGAAAATCCTGTCATGAAAGTTGTGATTCCAAGAAACAGCAGGATTCCCATCAAGAGGAACACGACTCTAGTTACTCTCTATGACAATCAAAAGTCGGCGTGGTTCCCCATTTATGAGGGTGAGAGTACAAACACCAAAGAGAATAATTTTCTGGGTGAATTTGTTCTCGAGGGTATTCCTCCAGCTCCAAAGGGTGCTGCTAAATTCGATGTTTGTTTCAGTATTGATGCCAACGGTATTCTAAGTGTCTCTGCTGAGGATAAGTCTACCGGCCAGAGGAAAGGGATTACAATCATGAGTGCTAAAGACATAAGGAACTTTGAAGGGATTGAGTTAGTGAACTGATTAAGAAGCCTGGTTCTAGAACTGAATTAGGACATATAATATAAAATTAGCTTTACGTTTTAATTTTTTGAGTTGTTTTATCTTTATTGGAATATAAATGAATCTATAAGTAAAACATACAAAGTATATAAGCCTGTGGAAAAGTTGTCGGTGGCCATGGCCATTGCAGGCCTCTACTTCAGTCCGCCCCTGACTTCTATCAATGTATGTTAAATTTACTTGTATATGGGTGTGTCTTGGCAAGTGGCAACTGTATCGATTTTGTGTATTCAAAGACAAAAAAAAGATAGCATTTTACGAAAATTAATACATCCAACATGTTTAGGGATTGTTACGGGACAAGTTAGTCCTTTCTTGCAGTGTGTCAGCGTGACCATGCTGGACTTCAATTGGATATTATAAGGCCCTTGCATTTTTATTTTTTTAACGAACGATATTATCTATACCGGAAGGTGTAAACTTAGTCTCACAATAAGTTAGCAATAAGATGATACAAATTCGTCTTTGACAAAAATCGAACCTAAGACCTCTCACTTAAGTGAAGAGGAATACTACTAACCATAATACTAAGTTAAATTTATAAAGTAGTAAGGTTGTGAAATCTCGTTCTTGGATTTCACTGTTATAATCTACGTATTTGTATTATTGGGATTTTACATTATTTTTCGGGAATTTATATTAATTTATTTGAATTTAGATTTTAATTAAACTAATTACGAAGTTTGAAGTTTGGAAATTAGTTATTTAAAATCCGTAGGCCTTTCGAGGTCACAATTTATATTTTCGAATAGAGTTCTATCTTACGAACGCGTAGCCACAAACCGTTTGTGAAACGGAGTTATAACGAAGAAGTTATTAACGTTCTCTAGAATGCTCCAGATTTTCTGGAGTACTAAGATTGTGCCATGTGTGTGGCTGGGGTGGAAAGGAAAGAAGAGAAATGAGAGAGATAAACGGCTGGGATGAAATTTAAAGGAGAAATAAAAAGGGAGGGAGGTCGGCCTATGAGAAGGGGGAGGGAAAAAAATAAACCAATAAGAAAAGAGAATAGGGAGGGAAAGGAGAGAGGTGGGAAAACACCCAACCAAGACTTTATCTCCTTTACCCAATTTCAAACCCCGACTCGGTTTCTTGACCCGGTTGTATCTCCTCCGTCCGACGTCCGATTGAGGTGATTTTAGTGTCTATGGAAAACTCTCGGTGAGCCCAGCATTCTGTGGTATTATATTTCTCAATTTCCAACCCAATTTTACAAACCAAAGCCACAAAAGTCCACGATATTCTGGCGGTTTTCTCATTTTTCCGATGATTTCGACAACGATTACCGTCGATCGCCACCACCAATAGAATCCCCTCAACCTCAAGAACAAAGCCCAAGCAAGGGTGGAGGTGTCGGAGCTCGTTTGGAAGCCGAATCAAAGCACACCATTTTCTAAGGTTTCCGGCCGTCCAAGGATGATTTCAGGTGTTTCCTGGTTGAATTGGACTTCGGCCCAGGTATGAAAATTGCTCCCCTCATTGAGATCTACAAATCTGTAAATTTTGGTAAATTTTGGAAATAGTTGAATTTTCCGGCGAGTTAGGGCGAACCTGACCTTCCTAGGCTAATTTGGATGTCCTGATTCCGTATTTGACATCCGTTTAGTGAAATTCCGATGTTTTAACATAGTTTCGTAATTGATCGCCTAGTTAGTCGTCACTTGATTATAATATGAATTGACGATCAGACCGTTAGATCGACACGAAACTTTAATACGTAATAATACATAATATTTGAAGACCTTAAGAACTTACGGATCGGGAATCCTACGTATTGATCTTCCCGAAGTGGATTTCTAAGTATGTAAATTCAAAGGTTGACCGCCACTTGAATTTGCGATTGGTGGATATCCAACCGTTGGATCATAATGAAATTTTACTATGTAGTTCTAGAAGCATAATGTGGAATTTGGCAATAGGGTTGGGTTCGATTTTTTTCCAAAAACGAAACTGAACCAAAATTTCGGTTCGGTTCATTTTTTTTTCGGTTCAGTTTCGATTTTGGTTTTTTTTTTTCAAAAAATGAAAAAAATTGAAATCTTAAACCATGGCAAGTTTTTCCTCTAACTGGGTAATAAATCTGCTTTCCATCTTTTCCATAACCATCCACAAACAAAGTCCAGGTCTTATCAGTGTTGCCCAATAGCTTCTCATGCTTCTCCGTGTAAATCTCCAGCCTATCACCCTCCTCCAGCGTTATACCTTTCATGTACGAAGCCTCACCCTTCCTCAACACATGCACCTCTGCGTAGCTCACTGGTGTATGGTGTCGCATTCTTCAATCTGAACCCATAAACCATTTTCATAAGGATTCGACGTAATCATGAACCCATAAACCAAATCATGAAAAAAGCAAAAGAAATCAACTTTAACAAAATTGAAGTAAAAGTAACTAAGAACCCAATCCACATTCTCCAAAATCAAGTACCAAAAAGTATGCACAATCAGAAACAGCTCCAAACCAACCACAATCATAGAACAGAATTGGTCGAATAAAGATTCGATCTTTAAAGCAAAAACGTGGGTAATTTTTCAAAATTTGAGAACCCATCAAACATTCAAAACCAGAAACAGCAAAACATCCATCAGAATCAGAGACCCATTTGGTTAAATATTCTAATTTCTAAGGGCAAATAATGTTCATAATCCAAGAAGTTAAAATAGGGCATGGAAAGATTACCTAGAAGAACGACGAGTGGGTCCTAGTGACCGAATGGAAGAGGGTCCAGATGGCGTCGTACTTCGGTCGGAATAGCTCTTCGTTGATTTAGTCGACTGAAAGTTAGATTTGAGCTAAAGAGAGATATCAACGATGCCGAGCTTTTGCATTCTTTCGCAGTTTTCTCTAATTCGATCTTCTCTAGACTGCTCGTACAGAGACTTGGGGATTTGGGGGTGCTCATTGTTGCTTCGAGGGTTAGGGTTTGCTGAGGATTCTAGGGCAACCGTCTTCATTCCCAGAGTTGGCATTTGAATTATCTTTCTCTCTCTCTCTCTCTGATCAGTCTCGCGGGTGTGGGTGTAGGTGTTGGAGAGAGAGAGGCTGAGAAATCAGTTGAAAGAGGAGATGAAATGGGAGTAAATGGGATGGCTAGGGTTTTATGTTTAGAAATCTTATAAAGAATTAAAGATTCAGAATTAGTATAAATATTTTACTAATACGATTATAGCAACACAAAGCTTGTTGTCAAGTTGGTTGAAGCAAACACTCTCAACCTGGAAGTCAGGGGTTCGAAACACTTGGCCTCTAGATTTTGAGTATTTGTTACAAATTTATATAATTAATAAATTAAATAAAAATCGGTTCAGTTTGGTTCGGTCTGGTTTCTGGACCATCAAACCCGAAACCGAATCAACCTATTTCGATTCGTTTAGGTTCACTTAGTTCGGTTCGGTTTGGTTGTCGGATCAATTTTTTAAACCCACCCCTATTTGGCAAGTTATGGATCGGAAATCTGATAGGCGGATCTTTCGGTTTAGATTTATAGGGTTGTGGACCCTACTCTCGATCTTGATCGATAGTTGACTTTTTAGTCAACTAGACCGAGTTATTCTAGCGTGTCGTTTATCTTAGAGTGTTGTTGAGAACTCATGGAGCTTAGTGGGCTCATCGTGTTGACGTGTCTTCCTTGGTTGACGTGCACCTTAATTTACTTACTAGTGACTATAATATATGTGATTTTTATTGAATTGTTATTTTTACTTAGCCATCATTCTATGTTTTTTAATTGTGATTTGACTGTGGATTGGAAATATTCATGAAATGTGATTTGACGTGCATGTTTGAAATGTGGTTTGTGTGGTATGATAGGCATGATGTGATGAAATGTGAGGGCTATAAGTGGACCGTTGACCCATTGTCATGGGGTTTGTTGCTTCGACACTTGTTTCACGTCTTGTTTCCTTATTTCACTTTTTGTTTCGTTCAACCCTTCTAAATTGAGTACTTGGTTCTTGTATTGTTTCTTCGAGCCTTTGTTATATTCCTTGGGCTTCCACTCGGTTCCGTTGAGTGATCCGAAACTGGGTATCCGCTGAAGTTCTGTTGAGTGGTCCGGTTCCCTGCTTTGTTTGGATTCCGTTGAATGGTCCGGAATCCCTCGTGATTCACGATTCCATTGAGTGGTCCAGAATCGTATGTAGCTTAGATTTCATTGAGTGGTCTGATATCTATTGTACTCCGCGATGCCGTTGAGTAGTCTGGAATCGTATCTACTTGGATTTCGTTAAGAAGTCCATAATCTCTTCTACTCCGCGATTCCGTTGAGTGGTCCGGAATCATATCCTGGTTTGGATTCCGTTGAGTGGTCTAGAATCCTTTTTGGTGTCTTGGTTCCGTTGAATGGTCCGGAAACTGATGTTGATGGATTTTGTCGAGTGGTCTGAAATCGCATCATTTGACTCATTGATTCCTTGGATTTGATTTATTTGAGACAACTTTTGAGATGTAGGCTTCGGCCGAACTGTGTCGCTCTAGTCCTGCATTTCAGTGTATTGTATGTGTTATTGATTGATATGGTTATGATGTTGGTTATGATTAGACTCGTTGACCAATATGACTAGAGATTATTATTGCGCTTCGTCGATTGTTCCTTGAGATGATGCATGCTCTGAATTGTGTATTATGTTAAGACATGGTGATTATGATGATTGTTCGAGTGTGGTGAAGGACGAACTACGAATGGCTGGTTCTCTATTTAGGGTACATAGGCAGTCTAACGAGGAGGTTAGATGTAGCCATAAAGTATATGAAAAATTACTATGTGATTCGATTCTCGAGTTGTGATTTGCCATATCCCGGAGGCGGGGTAAGTTAGAGATACAGGTATTTGATGACGTCACATGTCGAGCCTGACATGTTATAAAGTAGTTATCGTTTAGTGTTATTTATGTTTTCGTTAAACCTTATTGTTTGTGCTTTGGTTACTGCACAATTTGGCATAACACAACGAGAATTTTTCAGTGTGCGTAACATGAGGCAGCCACATGTAATCATACGATTGGTGGAAAGTTCTATTTTCAAGTCTCTCCTATAAAAAAAAATTATGTGGCTGAATGATTAATTTTCATTGATATGTGAATGAGTATATATAACATAACATTCCTTGTATAAGAAGAAGTCCTCCTACAAGTTAGGAGAACAATTACAATTTAAGTCTAACTAATTTCTTATTTGTCTAACACACCCCTTCAAGTTGGAGAATGGATGTTGAGAACTTCCAACTTGTGTAACATAGTCGAAAACTTTTCCTTTCCAAGAGGCTTCGTAAATAAGTCCGCTAGCTGCTGTGTTGTACCAACATGCCGGGTAGTAATGGTTCCATCGTTAATCTTATCATAGGATTGGCAGCTATATGCAATGCTGCTTGATTATCACAGAATAAAATAGACGGACCATTTAAAGAAACATTCAAATCCTTCAATGGAAACGACTTAGAACATGTACAAGATAGGTAATATTTGGTCAAGTTATTGTGAAATAAATTAATCGGCCTACTAGACGTTGATACTTTTTAGGGTCCTTGAGGAGTTCCCCTTTGTCGGATAGTTTTTATCATCCATAGGAAATGCAATGGGCCGTGCTCCCAGAAAGTCATAATCCTTGAGGATCTCCAATGCATATGTACGTATGAAATATACCAGAGAGGAAGGAACCAGTAGGGTTGGAGGAGAAAGAAGGTGCAGTGGCCATTGGAGAGGGGAAGGCACGGCAAGAAAGGGGTGTCAAGGCACGGGTAGGAATTAGGAAAAATTATATATTGGAAAGACTAGAGTTTTTACCAGGAATAGGAATGATACCATGTAGAATTGTAACATCTTAATTTTATTAATCTCATAAAGGTACATGTATTTACAAGTCAATTGACTTGGAATACAAATATTCAAGGCCCGGTAATTACAAAACCTAGCCTATGAGAATTCTAAGTGGATTCTCCAACACTAACAAGGAGTTCTTATTATAAATCCTTGTATAACAAGAACTCCTCCTACAGGTTAGGAGTACAATTACAATTCAAGTCTAACTAATTTCCTATTTGTCTAACATCTCCAATTATATAAATACATTTGGGTACATAGAAAAATCTCTCTAAAACGGGTCATCAGAAAATAAATTTGAGACTAGTTGACCAAATTTTTAAACCTCTAAACCTTTGGAGAGCGAAAGATAAATGATTATTCCTACCCAAGTATAGATCTAAGTTATAATAGACACCACTCTGAACTCTTTCTCTTCTCCGCTAAACTAGCCAGACTTACTCTCCCTAGTCCCCCACTAGTATTACTCTCACTGTAATCGTTTTTTTCTCTCTATCTTCTTTGTCGTGTTCCCGTGCAGAGAATGGCAGGAGCAGAAGGCAACGCAATTGGGATTGATCTGGGGACAACGTACTCGTGTGCAATGTGGGAGAACGACCATGTGGAAATCATAGTGAATGATCAGGGTAACAGAACCACTCCATCTTGTGTTGCCTTCACAGAGACTGAGCGATTGGTTGGTGATTCAGCCATCAACCAAGTCATCAGGAACCCGACAAACTCCATTTTCGGTTAGATCCTCGTTTATGAGCTACTAATTTGGCAGTATTTTGATGGAAAATGGTTAAATGCTTATTTTTTATGGTCATGTTCACAAAATATATTTTTTAACAAAAAAAGCTACAAGTATAAACAGTATGAAGTTGGATTGAAACTATCGTTGCAGGATAACACTTTTGATTAAAGCAAATAAGTCATTGTGTTGTTTTTGATATATGATCTATTGCTTCATAGCTGTTTTTCTTTCTGGGAATGGTTTTTAATTTAGTCATTTATTTGCAGATGCGAAGAGGTTAATTGGTAGGAGATTCAATGATGCCACTTTTTAAAGTGATTTGCCTACTTCAATTCCACTGTGAAGAATGCAGTTATCCCTGCTTACTTCAATGATTCACAACGTCAGGCTACAAAAAATGCTTGCAGCATTGCTGGCCTAAATGTGATGCGTATCATCAACGAGCCAACTGCTGCAGCGATTGCTTATGGCATTGACAGGAAGGCTGGTTGGTATAGCAAGAGAAATGTGATGATATTTGATTTAGGTGGTGGTACTTTAGATGTTTCACTACTTACCATAGGTGATGGTTTGTTTCAAGTGAAGGCCACGGCTGGAGACACTCACCTTGGAGGAGAAGACTTAGATAACAAAATGGTGGATTTTTGTGTTGAGCAATTCAAGAAGAAGCATAATGTGGACGTGAGTGGGAACTCTAGAGCACTCAGGAGGTTAAGAAACGCATGTGAGAAAGCAAAGAGCAGGCTTTCATTTACTTCAGCCACTGACATTGAATCGACTGTATGTATGAGGGTACTGATTTCTATACAACTATCACCCGTGCCAAATTTGAGCAACTGAATATATTGGCGTGAGTCTATATTTTAAGAGAAAAGGAATGTAAATATTTTGTAATTATTAGAGTCATGTTTTAGGAAGGATATTGTATCCTTTATTATTTTTTGTTTCCTTTTGTAACAAGGATTGTATGTCATTTTATTCAGGATTATGGAATATAGAAAAGTTAAGCCGTAAAATTCTATTTGGCATCAGAGCCAAGATTGCCGTAACCCTAGAAACTGTAAAACAATATTTTCTTCCACTGCTGTGTTTGGTCGACTTGTTCTTGCGCTGCTTGTTGCAGAAATCGATCAGGCCATGTATATTGGATTTGCAGCAGTGTGATCTTGTTGCTGCTGTGTGTGGTGTTGTGCTTTTCTAAGTGTACCGTGTATTGACTTGCAGTGTGTAGTTGTTTGCTGCTTGTCTGCTACCATACAAATACTTGAGGCTGCTACGGTATTGACTGTGTTCTCCAATTAGAGTTGTTGCGTGGAAAGTTGTGATGTGCTACCACCTTATTTTTTGTATTGTGTGAATTTCGTGAGCGTGTTTTCTTTGCCGCGATCTTCTAGTGCTGCAGTCTGCAATTGTTTCGTAATTGCCTTGATTGGTTGTTGCTTTGTTGACCAAAACAAACAAAACACAAAAAAATAAGAAAAAGAAAGTAAAGGTATTTGCTGCTGCAATCAAGCAGCAAGAATTAATTCATCAAGTGGGTTGTTCCCATTCTACCTTGGTTTTTTTTACTGCTTGCTGTGACGTGAGCAATGCTTGTGCAGTGTGGTTGTGCGTACTTGCTGTTTTGTCTGTGATGCGCAGTGTGTAGAGACTGATGTGCAGGTGTTATTACAATGACCAATACCAGTTGGATTTTAGATTCCGATGCAACAGATCATATGACGTATGATAGAACTTTGTTTCAATCCATGAAAGATCCTTATAGAAAGTGTGTGGCAACTGCCAATGGTACTACTGTTGTTGTTGTTGGAGCGGGAACAATGTCTCTTACACCCTCTCTTTCTCTTCCTTTACATAATTGTTTATTGGTTCCATCGTTGTCCCATCACTTATTGTATATACCTTAAGTCACTGAACAATTGGATTGTGTTGTATTAATATATCCTTCTTTTTGCTTGCTTCAGGATATTCAGACAAAAGAGATCATTGAGCGTGGCATTAAGAGATAGGGGTTATATTATGTGGATGACGTGGTTTCTGGAAGAGCTAATTTGGTTCATGCATCACGTAATAGTAATCTACATAAGGTATTGTTATTGCATCGTCGTTTGGGGCATGCATCGTTTGGTTATTTGAAACATATATTACCTGATATGTTCAGTGGTATTGAAGACTCAGAATTGAAATGCGAAGTATGTATTTTAGCCAAAAGTCATCGTGCTTCATTCCCTCCAAGTATGACTAGAAGATCTTCTCTGTTTGCGCTAGTACACTCTGATCTGTGGGGGCCTTCCCCTGTTAGTACTACTACAGGAATTAGGTGGTTTGTTACTTTCGTGGATGATTGCACTCGTATGACGTGGTTGTATGTGTTGAAAAATAAAAGTGAGGTTTGTGATGTGTTTCGTTTGTTTCAACAGATGGTTAAGACTTAGTATTCTTCTGATATTAAAGTTTTGCGTTCTGACAATGGTGGAGAGTACATAAATTCTGAGTTATCTCGGTTTCTACAAAATCGTGGAATTATTCATCAAACTACATGTCCGCATACTTCGCAACAAAATGGGGTTGCTGAGAGGAAAAATCGTCATATCTTGGAAACTGCTCGTGCCTTGCTTATTGGTGCATCCGTACCTAAACGGTTTTGGCCTGAAGCCGTTACCTATGCCGTGTATGTGATTAACCGTATGCCATCCCGGGTTGTGGACTTTCGTACACCTCTCCAAGTGTTGACAGAATTTGTTCCCGTAGTGTCCACTAATACTCTCACTCCTCGTGTGTTTGGATATGTAGCCTATGTTCATATTCACAAGATTCATTGTAGTAAATTAGATCCATGTGCTCTCCGGTGTGTCTTTCTTAGGTTTACTCCCCAATAGAAAGGGTATAAGTGCTACCACCCTGAAACTCACCACGTGTATGTGACCATGGATGTTATTTTCTCGGAATCCGAGTATTTTTATGCTTCGATTCCATCACCTTCTGATCACCAGGAGGAGAATACTAATGGTGATCTTAGGTGGTTGGAGATACCAGATAATGTACTATGTAGCTCAGGGGGAGCGTGTGTTGAAAACAAAAATTGTGAAGGCTCTCGGCAAGAGATTGTCAAGAATGAATACAGTGAAGACAGTGAGGGTTCTCGGTAACAGCCTGTCAAAAATTGGACTATTGTTCAGCTGCCAAGCACCGAAACAGTTGATGCTTCTCGGCAACAGTCTGTCGAGTATGATGCAGAGTATCGGCAGGAGTCTGCTGAACCCGAACCCGTACCCCCTCTCTCTAGCTCAATAGTGCCACCCAAAATGTCTTCTCTGAATATTCCTGAGGTAAGTAAAACTAATGCTCATGTAACTAATCCGGATAATATTATGAGTACGTATAAGTTGCCGCCAAGGCAAAATCGTGGTGTTCCTCCTGACAGGTTTTCTCCTAAAGGAAAAGTGAAGTATCCAATAGCTAATTATGTGTCATGCTCGAACCTTGCACCAAAAGGTCAAGCCTGGGTGAATAATGTGGAAGCAATCCAAGCACTAACCCGAGTTGAGGAGGCCTTGAAGGATCCTAAATAGGCTGCTGCAATGGATGAAGAAATGATGGTACTGCATAAGAATGATACGTGGGAGGTAACGGAGCTACCGAAAGGAAAAAAACCGGTCGGGTGTAGATGGGTCTTTACAATTAAATACAAGGCAGACGGATCAGTGGACATGTATAAAGCAAGGTTAGTAGCAAAGAGTTATACACAAACTTATGGTGTTGATTATCAGGAAACTTTTTCTCCAGTAGCGAAGATGAATACAGTACGAGTCCTTATTTCTTTAGCTGCAAATTTGAATTGGCCACTGAAACAGTTTGATGTGAAAAATGCTTTTCTTCATGGGTACCTGAAAGAAGAAGTATATATGGATTTTCCTCCGGGGTATAATGCCAGAAGGAAAACCGGAGTATGTAGGTTGCAAAGTCACTTTACGGGCTTAAGCAATCACCTAATGCATGGTTTGGTAGATTCACTCAAGTTATGAGGAGGATTGGGTATTATCAAAGTCACTCTGATCACACGTTATATGTGAAACAGAGAAGTGGTAAAGTGATGGCCTTGATTATTTATGTGGATGACATGATAATAACAGGTGATGATTCGGATGAGATGATGAAATTAGAAAAAAGTCTTGCCGTTGAATTTGAGATGAAGAATTTGGGAGATTTGAAATATTTCCTTGGAGTGGAAGTCACCCGGTCATCTAAAGGTATTTTCTTATCTCAATGTAAATATGTTCTGGATTTATTAAAGGAAACAGGCATGCTGGGATGTAAACTTGTGGACACTCCCATCACAGAGAAACATTAATTGGGGATTTATCCAGATCAGGAACCGGTTGACAAAGGTAGATATCAAAGGCTAGTGGGGAGGCTGATTTATTTGTCTCACACGCGTCCGGATATTGCCTATGTCGTAAGTGTGGTTAGTCAGTTTATGCACTCACCAAGTGTGGATCATATGGCGGCAGTAATGAGAATCTTGGCATACTTGAAGTCTGCCTTGGGAAAGGGAATTTTGTATGAACATCATGGACATATGAGGATCGAGGGATTTACTGTTGCTGATTGGGCAGGTGATGTTACTGACAGACGGTCTACATATGGGTATTTCACATTTGTTGGAGGTAATTTAGTTACGTGGTGGAGTAAGAAGCAGAATGTGGTATCACGGTTCTCTGCCGAAGCCGAGTATAGGGGTATGGCACATGGTGTGTGTGAGATCCTTTGGCTACAAAAGTTGCTTTGGGGTCTTGGTTTTACACAGAAAGAGGCGATGAAATTGTATTGTGACAATAAGTCTGCTAGAGAAATAGCTGAGAATCTGATACAGCATGACAGGACCAAGCATGTTGAGGTTGATAGACATTTTATCAAAGAAAAGCTGGAAAAGAAGATTGTGTCAATACCGTTCGTGAACTCAAAGGAACAACTTGCGGATATCCTTACTCATGATGTGTGTAGTAGGAGGTTCGATGACTTACTTATCAAGTTGGGCATGTATAACATCTATGCTCCAACTTGAGGGGGAACATTGGCGTGAGTCTATATTTTTGGAGAAAGGGAATGTAAATATTTTGTAATTATTAGAGTCATGTTTCAGGAAGGATATTGTGTCCTTTATTATTTTTTGTTTCCTTTTATAACAAGGATTGTATGTCCTTTTATTCAGGATTATGGAATACATAAAAGTTAAGCCGTAAAATTCTATTTGGATTTCTTTAACAAGTGTCTGGAGCCAGTAGAGAAGTGTTTGAAGGATGCCAATATGGAAGTGAGCAGTGTCCATGATGTTGTTCTTGCCGGTGGATCTTCTAGAATTCCCAAAGTGCAGCAACTATTGCAGGATATGTTCAAGGTGAAGCAGTTGTGCAAGAGTATCAATCCGGATGAGGCAATTGCGTATGGTGCCGCTGCTCAAGCTGCAGTCTTGAGTGGGAATGTGAATGGGAAGCTTCATGGCTTTTCTCTCTTAGATGTCACACCTCTGTCACTTGGGGTCAAGGAAGAAAATATCGGTAATATCGGAAATATCGGTAGTTCGAAAACACGGAAATATCGGGATAATATCGATATCGATAAAAATTACATGGAAACCACGGAAATTGTAAGAAAAACTTGGAAATTTTTATTGAAACTTTGCAGGATGTTTATTTAGTCAATTATCTATTAGTTTATCACAAAAAATTGAAAGGAAATGTATTGCATGATGGATTTAACATTATCAAGTTGATTATATAGCGAGCTGGCAAACATGATGGATTTAAAGGATGTTTATTTAACTGATTTGAGGTGACCCAACCACACACACACATACACGCCACCACACACGCACACATGTTATGAATCCAGTGACAGTTACTGGGTTCACCCTTCAACCTCTGCGAGCTTATCTTTTCTTCTCTCTTCTTCTTTTTTGTTTAAAAAAAAATTATAATAATTGTTCTTTTACATTGGTAACTGTAAGGTTTTAATTTCGATTCTCATTAAAAACAAGTTTGAAGGATATTATTACTAGTCCATTGTGATGCTTAGTCCACTCCCCCACTCCCTTAATGTAGATACTACTGTTTTTTTTTATTATTTAAGAAAATTGATATAACCCCTTTCATAATGAGGGGTACCCAAGAAGAAAAGAGAATCTTTCACACCTTTAAATTTAAAATTTACCAGCAAAGGTATTAAATCCAAATACACTTTCCTCCTAAAAAATTGTTCTCAAAGAAAAAAAGGCATATGGGCATGCAGTTGCATGTGGTGTTGAATTTCTGATTATATTACACACGCACACAACACACGCACGCACACAACGCACGCACAAGTCTCTCTCGATCCTTCTTCTCTCTTCTCATTACACACGCACACAACACACGCACACACACAACAACCCACAGAGAGACTCCTCAGTCTTTCTCGATCTTCTTCTCTCTTCTCTCCCTTCTCCCTTCTCCCACACACAGACACAGAGATCTGTTGATCTCTCTTCTCCCTTCTCCCACACACACGCACAGAGATCTGTCGATCTCTCTTCTCCCTTAGCCTCGTCGGCGTCGTCTCTCTGGAAACTCTCATTTCTCTCTGCACCGAGTCCGAGACCCACATACACACACGCACACCATTGCATCTGCTTCAGGAAGACACCCATCGTCATCATCAACCTCGTCTTTCTCCCTCTCATTCTCGTCCCTGCAACTCGGCGAACGTAGGACTCCGGCGAGTTTCTTGAATTTCTCCGGTTAGGTAAGCTTCGATTTACCTCTTTCTGTTCCACATTGGAGCTTATATGTGAAATTTAAGTTCAAAATCGTGTTTTTGCAAGGTTTTTGGGACGAAATCGGCTCGAGTTCGCATAGATCCATCTCCGGCGTTCTTCTCCGAGTGCCCAGTTCCAAATCTATCGCGATAATTTCGAAAATATCGCGATATTATCGATAATATCGCGATATTATCACGAAACCCATTTGGATAG